GTGATGATGCTGGTGGTGATGGTGGTGATGGTGATGATGGTGGTGATGATGGTGTTGATGGTGGTGATGCTACAATGCTGGTGGTGATGGTGGTGGTGATGCTGGTGATGGTGATGATGGTGGTGATGATGGTGTTGATGGTGGTGATACTACAATGCTGGTGGTGATGGTGGTGGTGATGCTGGTGATGGTAGTGTTGATGGTGTTGATGGTAGTGATGCTACAATGCTGGTGATGATGGTGATGGTGATGGTGATGATGGTGGTGGTGGTGATGGTGGTGATGATGATGGTGATGGTGGTGGTGATTATGGTGGTGATAATGATGATGGTGGTGATGGTATTGATGGTGATGATGCTGGTGGTAACAGTGATGGTGGTGGTGATGGTGGTGATGGTGTTGGTGATGGTGGTGATGGTTGTGGTGATGGTGATGGTTGTGGTGATGGTGATGGTTGTGGTGATGGTGATGATGGTGATGGTGGTAGTGATGGTGATGGTTGTGGTGATGGTGATAGTTGTGGTGATGCTGGTGAGAGTGGTGGTGGTGGTGATGATGCTGGTGGTGATGCTGGTGGTGATGATGGTGAAGTTTGTAATGATAAGGGTGAGGATGATGATGCTATTGGTGGTGGTAAGTGCCTTTCTCATGGGCTTCCTGAGGAAACAGCCTAGCAGAGAGCCCTTTCAAAATAACTCTTCTTCCACTGAAAGCTGGGTCTCAGTCTTGGTCCCTGGAATCTGATGGACGGTGCAGCTTGCTTAACCAGCACACTAAGTGCAAGTGAAGCCACGGGACTTCAAAGCCTAGGTCAGAAGCCCATGGCTTCTCCTCTGCCCCCCATGGGACATGCAGGCAATCCTGAGCTGTGACTTAAGAGTCCATTCACCCTGAGAATGTGCTTATGAGGCCATGTGTAGGTGCACAGGGTGACAGTCCCAGCTGAGCCCAGTCTTGTTGTCATGCTGTTGAGGATTCAGACTTGTGATAAAGCTGTGGTGGACCTTCCAGATCATCCTGCTGCCAGCTGGACTGCACCCTCAAACCCAGTCCACACTGCGTGGAGCAGAAGGACCACAGCTGGACCCCATGGGCTTCCTGATCAGAGGCAGTGTGTGGTTCTAGTTCCCAGTCATGTCCTGAGTAAGCCCCATGCCTGCAGGTGGCACCTTGGCTCAGCAGCACAGGCCACACCCCCTGCCTGGGCCTAACCTGCCTGGCCCTTACCTGCCTGGCCCTTGTCCTGCCGTGGGGTCCATTTGAAACTGTGGCTGCCTCCTTTGGACCAAGGGACCAATCTCCAGCCTCTCAGTGCAGGGAAGGCGGCACACGTGGAGCCCACAGAGCTGTAGAACTCCCTTGAGCAAGGTCACACGGGGGCCTCCAGAAAGAGCCCAGCACACGTGGTGCCCGCCCGTAACTCCAGAGACTTGAGAGGCTGATGCAGGGGGATGGCCCGTCAGATGCCAGCCTCAGCAATTTAGTGAGGTCCTCAGCAACTTAGCAAGATTCTGTCTCAGAATTTAAAATAAAAGCTCTGGGGATGTGGCTCAGTGGTGAAGCGTCCCTGGGTTCAATGCCCAGGTCGGAAGGAAGGAAGGAGCAAGCCCAGCACAGCATAAGCCAGGAGCTGCCTCCAGGGGCACCTCCTGGGCCTGAGTATAGCCACCCAGGAGCTGGTCAGCCAGGAAGACGAGGCTGGCCAGAAGGTGCCACCAGGAAGCTCTTGGGTCCCCATGCTAACCACTACCTGGGGCTTCCTCATGCTCAGCTCTGCCAATGAGGAGCCATTGGAGAGCTGGGCTTTGCTGCCCCAGGCATCCTCGAGGGGACAGGGGCATGGACAGTGGAGCGACAGCCCACCTGCTCCCTCCTGTATCTGACGGGGGGAGCTGCTAACTCTCTTGCCCATTTATAATCGAGAATCTGGGGTTTTGGAGCCTTGGATTCCAGGACAGTATCACAATGCTGGGCTGGAATTTGAGCCCAGATCTGCCTGACACCCAAGCCTGTATCTCCTGCCCCACGAGATGGACAGGTTCACGGTTGAAGGTGAGAGGGCCGTTCTGCATCCTTCTTCCTCCTGGGAGGAGCACATCCCACTGCCTTGGACTGAGATTCCCCCTGAACCCTGCCGCCTCCCCAGAGAAGAGCCTTGCTCTGCTGGCACCCCGTCCTGTTGCTGGGACTCTGCTGCCCACTGAACTGCTGTCCCCCTCTGTGACCTCGGAGCACTGCACACAGCTCTTCTGTTCCCAGGCCCTGTGGCTGAGGAAGCGGAGGGCTGGGGAGGGGAAGTCACACGGCTAGCAAGGGGCAGAGCTGAGGCTGGGGCTCCAGGGCCTCCAGGGCCACCTCCTTCCTCCTACACCACTGTGGTGCGAGGTCTCCTGCTTGCTTCCTCTGGTGACACACACAGGAGGCAGGGGCCCATACTGCAGGGGGCTGCTGTACGGCTGTGTGCAAATATTTTGTAGGCATGAGTCCAAGAGCAAGTGCTGGCTTGGGTCACAGGAGAGATGAGTAGCTAACTTTTAAAGGAAACACCAAAATTTTTTCCAAAGTGACTATGCCCCTCTACATCCCCAGGGCCGGATCAGAGCACCCCAGTTGCCACGTCCTTGCCACCAATCGGAATGGTCAGTCTTTGAAAGTTAGCCATCTCAGTAGATGTGGGGACATCTCAGGGAGCATTTTTGCATGTATTTATCGGCACTTATGTGTCTCCTTTTGTGAAATGTATGTTCAAATCTCTTGCCTTTAAAATTCTTGTTGGTTTTCTTAATACTGAATTTTAAAAGCTCTTTTTATATTCTAGACACAAGTCCTCTGTGTAGTATATGCCTTGCAAATATTTCCTCTTGATACGTGCCTGGACTTTCCATTTTCTAATGGTACTTTTTGCAGAATGAAACTTTTTAATTTAAATTTTGTGTGTTTGGTATCATGGATTGAACCCAGGGACACTCTGCCACTGAGCTACATCCCCAGCCCTTTTTATTTTTTATTTTGAGACATGGTCTTTCTAGGTTGCTGAGGTTGACCTCAAACTTGTGATCCTCCTGCTTCAGCCGCTGAGTCTCTGGGATAACAGGTGTGTGCCACGACACACCTGGCCAAAATTTGTCAATTCTGATGATGTCCAATTGATCTTTTTAAAGAAAAGGTTGTATGATTTTGTGTTCTATCCTAGAGTCCTGTTTTCACCCCAAGGTAGCAAACAACTGTATTTTCTTTGAGGGGCTTTATGCTTTTAGGTTTATGGTCCTATGAAACATTTTAAGGTGATTACTGTGTTTGATATAAGGGTTGACACTTAATTTTTTATATATAGGTATCTAGTTGGCAGAACATCCAAAAGCCTTCCTTTCCACAAAATTTCTACCCATTACACTTTTGTCAATAATTAACCATACGTAAGGGTCTGCTTCTGGGCTCTAGTCCTCCAAATTATACATATGCACATTTCATTTTAGACCAATATCAAACTGTACTTATTAGTGTAATTTTTATAAAATGACTTAAAATCACATAGGGTCAATTCTCCAACTTTGTTTTAATTGCTTTTTAAAAAATTGCTTTGAATATTCCAAGTCATTTATTTCTATTTCCAGATGACTTTTAGAATCATATTGTCAGTTGCTATCAAAATTCATGTTGGGATTTTATTGCAATTGTGTTGAATCAGTTTGAGGTAATTGTAATCCAACATGCCGCTCTCAAATCCATGAACATGGTATATCTGTGTTCACCTATAACTTTTTTATTTTCTTACTTTACAGTATAGATGTCTTGAACAAATTTTGTTAGATTTGTTCCAAACAATTTACTTCTTTTGTGCTATTATAAGTGAAATTTAAAATATTTTATTTTCAATTGTTTACTGATAACACATAAGAGCAAAAAAAAAAAATTTTTTTTTTAAAATATCAACCTTGCATCTTGTGACCTTGCTAAATTCACTCACTGGTTCTGATTGTTGTTTGTGTATGTC